TTGATTTCCCCATGAAAAATTAGGATGCTGACGCCATCCAGCTTTATAAGTGTTTGAGTAAGGATTGTTGCTGCCTCGATTGTAATTGCCTACAAAGTTGATGGACTCATGGTTGGTTGGGCATTCGCTCTCGTGATGATTGCCTTGGCATAACAGACATGCCAGACTAGTTATTTTCACTTCCTTCACATCAGTGGAACATTGTAAGTTCTTCAACATATTAGTAATAGCGGAGAGTTGAGCAGACACCGAATCTTTGGCTTCTAACTCGAATGCTCCAGGTGCTCTCCTCCCACTCCCAAGTCTTGAGGAAGGAAATTGATAATCATTGTTAGCAATTCTGTCCAAGATAGCAAACGCCTCCGTAGGTGATTTATCCAGCAATGTCCCATTTCCCAAGGCATCCAGTAACATCCTCGTGGGTGCATTGACTCCATTATAGAACATGACTACTTGAGTCCAATCATGAAAACCATGATTTGAACACTTTCGAAGCAAACTCTTGTAACGATCCCAACACTCATACACGGATTCGTCGTCGCCCTGGCGAAAAGATGATATTTCATTCCTTAGCTGCGTATTCATATTCAGTGGGTTGTACCTCAATAAGAAGCTCTTACAAAGATCGGCCCATGATTCCATCGAACCGGCTGGTACACCACTCAACCAAGCTCTTGCTCGGTCATGCAATGAATACGGAAAAGCTTTAATTTCAGAAAATCCTCATGCACTCCTTCTTGGCGGAAAGAATCACAAACTTCCAGAAAATTGCGAATGTGCTGCCTGGCATCTTCAGTTGGCATACCCCCAAACTGCCCAATGGAATTCAACATGTTGAACATGACTGGTTTCAGCTCGAAATGTGCAGCTTGAATTTCGGGTGCCACAATCCCAGGATTCAGATCATCCAGCATCGGATTTAAATGATCTCGAATAACACGAGGCCTGATAGCAGGTTCAGCATTGTTTAATATCGCGGCATTCAGATTTCCATCATCTTGACCAATGCCTTGGTTTCCAATCTGATACATATTTCTTTGAGCACGTCTTCTTCTTCTAAAGAGTCTTTCAATCTCAGGTTCTATCGGTTCCAAAGGCTCTTCAGAATTTCTTCTAGGCATACACTAAATAAACCTGAAAAATAAAACAAAAATATCAAGTAAACTATAAAAAAATAAAAAAAAAATGCAAAACAAAATAAAATAAAATGCTCTGGCAAAACTAAATAACTTCAGGCTGCCAATCCCCGGCAACGGCGCCAAAAACTTGTTGCGTGTTGTGAGTACTATAAAATATACGCAAATAATGTGCAAGTATACACAATCGCTCAAGTAATATAATGATGTGTGAGTATCGTCTCCACAGGGATTGGGTGAAATCAAAAAAGTCTAACCAAAGCAACGCACTAAATTATCTAAGTATAGTTAGTCTTGATATATACAAATGTCACGGTAATGGAAATGTGTATGCTGGTGAATGTGGATTGATGGTGTTATGGTGTAGCAAATGGAAATGCAGTGGCAATGATGGATGTTTAATATTGAGTATGGTGAAATGTCAAGGCAATGAGAAATGGTAAAAACAGTAAATAAAAAGATAAATAAAATAAGAAGAAAATAATCCTCACGTGACAAGCTTCCAATGAAATGAACGGTAAGGATTGGTCTAAGGTTGCTAAACTTATTTCTCAAGTATATTTAAGCTATCTTGTCTTTACTTACTTGACAGGGGTTTCCTAAGGTGTTCAAAAGAACCTAACAGAATAGGATGCCAAGGCATCTGCTCTCACTCAACGATGTTGGACAGCCTATCCTATTGATAAAGACACCCTTTTTAGTCGTTGAAATCCTATCCTAGTCTCTTCTGAGATCTAAGGGATTAAGTTATAATATTCCTAGGCCGGTTCAAAGCCCCTTGAAAATACCATAACCCATTGCTTATGAGGATCTTATCTTGCGTTTCTTCCGAATACTTACAAGTATTTTTAGTTTAGGATTCTTCCGAATACCTAACCTTCATCTAAGAGATGGACATTTCCATGCCTCTTACAAGCCTAGATGGTGAAGCATTCATAAGCAAAGCAAATAAAGAACCAAAATAAACTTAAATATACTATTGAAAATAAAGTTCAAACAACCATTCAACCAACCACCACCAAATAAGTTAGTTCATGGTGGGGTTCGAAATATCCAAACACAAAGTCATGAAAATATTCGTTCCAACAACCCACAAAATAATATAAAAATAGCAGCAAAAAAAAGGGAAGTGAGAAGAAGCCTTCGTCGCGCCACCGGAGGTCTCCTCTCGGCCACCACAAACCACCTAGCTCGCTAACTCCTTTTGGCGCCTAGCTTGCCACTCCTTGGAGCTTTATCAATGGAGGAATATTCCAAGAAAAAAAAAGGAAAAAAAAGAATTAAAAATCTGATTTTTCTGCTCTATACGTGTGCTCTTCGTCCTCTCTCTCTCTCTCCCCCATGAGGTGTCATATATAATAAATAAAATATCTAGGGGTAATGATGAGTTTGTTGGGTGCAAAATACCCCTCATACCCCTAGAATCACATTTTGTGCATGAATCTTATCCTCCAAGTGGCAGTGATCCATTGGTAGCTCTGGCAGGCGGTTACAGCAGTCCTCCACATGCAGGGACAGCGACAGCTGTCCTGATGCAGAAATATCTTTTTGTCTTTTTCTGTGCCAGAAATGCCAAGGCATTTCAATCTGCTCTAGCAACGTGTGATGCCGCGGCATTACTTCCCAAAGAATCCTTTTTCTTGCTATTCCCTGCACACCATAGACAAACTGCACCTTTCCCTCAAACAGCATCATTAAGAAATAAAATAGCACAACCACCACAAATGCAACTATATGCAACTACATGATCCTAAAATGACTAAAATGAGCTTTTGAACAAACAATAACTTAAGTGAAAAAGGCTTTAAAAGTAGCCTTTTTAGGAAGTTAACAATATCAATATTAGATTTATAGTAATTCCTTTCTATGTTTTAATAAACTAGTTCTAAACTCATATAATAATTAAGTTTTCTTCCTTATATTATTATTTGTGCATCCAACGTAGTATAAATTCCATTGAAATTTAATTAATTATTTAACTTTTCCTATAGTTTGGAGATTGCTTTTATATATAGTTCTACACATTACTTATATTGTTTTTGAAACTCATAACTCGATATTAGTTCCATATCTATATGAAATACTTTATCATATAGATAATATGATTTAAATAGTAAGAGATTTAGTAAAAAAAAAATAAGAGATATAATTAAACAATTTAAACATTTTGAGTAGAATTGAATAGAAAATTAAATGAATGCATAAAGTGATCTCAATGGTTAAATGAAATGTTACTTTCTTAAAAAGTCTTGGATTTAAGTAGCAGCATTTGTGGTGTGTTTGCGTTGTCAGTGACTTAAAAAAGATTCTAATAGATATTACTTATAATTACTCTAGATTACTTAAAAAATAAAATACATATCTTGACAAAAAAAAGAACATTAATTTTAGATAATATAATAATAATAATAATAATAATTTTTATATTTAGACTATGAGAGAGACCATACATAGAAACTTTAACCGAGTTGTGGTCACTACTCCATTAAATTAAGTTTAAATTTTATAAAATATAATACATGTGAACAAGTATTTAATTAATCTAAAACTCACATATCCCAATGAGATAATAACACGGTTTTGGCTTAGTCAGTTGGTTTGAAAGGAATTTTCCCAAGCACTGTTGTCTAAACTGCAAAAGAAACAATGCTAGCATTTGATGTATGTTGGTTAGATTCAATACACATTTAATATTAATGTCCCGGTAAAAGAGAGTTGTTAAATGTATTGAATTTTAGCAATTATTTATACAATGTAAAATCTTAATTACTGTGTGAACATATAATATTTTAAATCACTTTAGGTTATTTAAAAAAGATATTAATTAATATTTCTCATATATTTATCTTTTTTACACTTTATGAAAGTTACAAGATAGAGAAGTCTAAAAACATCTCTATCACAAAATTACAAATTACATCTAAAGTACTATCAATTGAAAATCTGAATTAATGAATTAATATTTTGGTCATATCATCAATTATCATATTAATTTCACAACAAATGTTTGTTGCGGATGCAACAATTCTTGACAGTTATTTTTGGTATCGCATTGTCGCTTCTTTCCTGGGATTGAATATTATGGTTTGTTGTTTGTAATGCTCTGTTCGGGTTATATGTATTATTTTCTTCCGTTTAAGACTTTGAAAGATTTTACCGAGACATACAATTTAAATAAAATTTGTTTAATTATTAATAATATCATCTTGCGGGCAAAAAAAAGTTTTATCATCCAATTTTCTCATACGTAGAATGGTGTTTGGCTCTACTTTTAACACACGATCAACCAAACCATAAGAAATAAATATAGCAACTATAGGATATAAATGGTGTAGTAACGAGATTAGTTAATATCCTACACACCTGATCAGGAGAGTGGCATAGCATATATCAGCTTATAAATAAATAAAAAGAATAATGGGAATGTATAAATTTTAAGTGTTACCCAGAATTTTATTTATTTTCTGTTTTGGTAAAAGTGGTTTGTTTCCCCAAACGCAGAAAATAATGGCAAGGGCATTGGTTTAGTGTTTAATATAAACAACCCCCACGGAAAAACAAGCCGAGAGAGAGAGAGGCACTGAATCTATTCAGAAATAACCTGTAACCCAGATAATGACACTGCACTGCAAACTCTTTCACCCAAACCCTAATCTCCTTTTCCTTTCTTCTTCCTCTTCTTATAATACTAATAATAATAATAATCCTTCTTCTCTTCTTCTTCTTCTTGAATTTACAGCATTTGCTGTTTCTTTTCTTCAACTTTCATACATAATAAAAAATTTATACCAAGCATTGATGGGAAAAAAATCTCAGACCAAGTTAATCAAAAACTGGCAAATATGTAAAGATAAAAATTGCACACTCAAGCTCTTTGATTTTGTTATTTTACTTTCTTTCTTTTCCTTCAAGATGTTGTCGGACTATGCCCTAGTCGGAGCTCTAGATCAAGATCTTCAATTGATGTTTCCTTGAGATTAGTTCCGGCGGCAGAAGTGGTTGAAGATTCGGCTTTTGTTGAGTAACTAAGAGAAGAAATATTCAACCCCAGAGGCGTTGCTGGAAAATTTATAGACGGTGGCGCCACCGTCGAGTTGTTAGAAGGATGATATGGTGAAATGGAGAGAAGGGTCGAAGGTGAATCAAAGGAACATGCACTGTTAATTGGTGGATAACTAAAAACCCCATTAGGGCTAGGTAATTGGTATAGGAGGCACATGCCACTATTTGTGGCGAATTCTTGAGTAGTCGAAGACGGTGAGGCTTGGTTGATTAACGGAACAGAAACACCACCGCCACCAGGTAGCTGTATTTGATGGAGCCGAGCCCTGTCACGGCGGTGTACGTTCATGTGACCACCAAGTGCTTGAGCTGACCTGAATTCCCTTCTGCAAAAAGTGCAAGTATACGACCTCGGCGGCCAAGTCGTGCCCATCGCGTTACCGGTGTCCTCAGCGAAGGCCCGGACTTCCCATGAATCGTCATCTGGTTTATAGGGTTGAACCTTAGGGTTCCACATCCAGGAGCCAGCAGTGGGAATAGGGTTATGCTGAAGAAGAAAATGACGGGTCTGACTTTGTTGAAACCGAGCTAAGTTTTGAAGGTGATTCAATGAGAGAACGCCAGCCATGGTACTGGAAACATTTAAGATAGGTGATGGAGATTTGATAAAGGGGATGAAAAGGGTTAAATACAGAGAGGATGGGCTTAAAGATAGAGACAAAATGAAACACTTAACACCGGGCATATCACCCAAATCTTGTACCAAGCATTTGGATTTTTTGTTGTATTTATATTTAATTAGCTTAATTTGCCCACTCAGCTCAACTCAACTAGCTTTTCTATTCCTCTATGCTTGCAAGGACTATGTCATACTTCGGCTGCAACGCCAACTTTTTTATTGGCTCAAATCTCTCGTGCATTTCCTCCTCTACAATTTAATTATGTATTAGTATTCTTATTATATAATTATTAGATGACATGAAATCTTTTCTTAATTAATTATCAATCTTAGTTTAGAATTTAATTATAAAATTTAATATATATACTCAAAATTACATAAATTTTATTCGATGTATTAATAACATATTTTCTTTTTTTATATATATATTAGTGAATTAAACGATTTCTTCTCATTGATATATTACTTGATATTTCATTTTATATGAAATTCAATGTGTATGTTGATGAAAATAAGATTGCCTTGTCGGTTGTGAGCATTTTTTTTTATAGTTTGAGTAGAATTGTGATAAGTGAAAGAATAATAGTGGGTTAGTGTTTTATAATGGAGGGAATTGATCATGAAAGATGAAGAAGACAAAAACAGGTGGATATGGTATTTATAGTGAATTTTAGTACGTGTCAGTCATAGGATCATTATGGCTATTCGTAGGTCGACAGTCTAGGCAAATCTAATATTTAGACTTTAGATTTTCCTCTGACAGATCACGTGGATTCACCAGAGGGCTTGTCTATGGGTATTATCTGTGCATTGTAGTTAACAGAAAATCTATGTTCAAGGGACGTAGGCTAATCAGAGACTCTGGTAGGTAAAATGACATGTATGGAGACTTTGATTGATGAATAGTTAGCAAATTAAGATGGATGTTAGGGGGTTTTCGGAGGTATAACAATGTCTTGCCTTAGTTAAGGGAAATGCTATAAAGTGGATTGACCTGAGACTTATGATGGAGAATATGTTATGCCAGACTTAGGATCATTATAACTATTTGAAGGTTAGTAGCCTAGGCAAATCGGGTAGTCAGACTTTGAATTTTTCTCTAACAGATCACATGAGTTTGTTAGAGGTCTTGTCATGGATTTTATCTATGCGTTATAGTTGACCTGAGTCCTGAAGTCTACGTTGAGGAACATAGGCTAATGTCTAGTAGGTAAATAGCACATCTGAAGACTTGAAAATTAATAGATTATGGCGGAGATTAGGGGTTTTCGAAGGACATCCTCAAGAGGTATAACAATATATGTATATATAGTTCTCAACTTTTTAATTTTAATTAAAATGATTTTCTATAGATGAAAAATATTAATTAATTAAAATTTTATATTTTAAATTATTTCGTATACTTTTTCACTAAAAGTACATATAAAAATATTACATCAACAATAGGACTTGAAGATTAACTCACTAATGATTTTTATAAAAAATAACTATTTTGACAAAAATAAAATGTTGATAACTAACCATTTTATCAAACATAACGTTAAAATAAAATATATACTTTAAATATACATATTTAAATAATTAATTAAATTGATCAAATTGATTTTAGTTAGTTTTTCGGATCAATTTCGATTTTAAAACCATACTTTCTATTGTACCATTGCTTGCATCGTCGTCCTGTAATTGCTTGCCATCAAATATTTATACAAAGATTTCAATTTGTTGTTCCTTGTTTAGCTAATGGACTCCTTAATAGAAACAAACTAATTCAGCAAACAAGAAGTTGACTTTTAATTAGTTTTTTTTTTTTTTTTTGCCTTCCTAATTCTAGGTCTTTGCTCTGATTAATTTAGACTGATTCACGTCGTACACTGACTTTGATGGACGAGTCTCCCAATGAGATTTCCTGTATACATAAAGTCTCAAACCCGATATCTTTCTTAAACGATATTAAGGTACTTATCACTTGAAATTGTGACTTTTTAACTAGTTTAGTTGTAATTAACTTTATAATTAATATAAATAGATTTCTAGTGAGTCACGAGGTTCACTTAAGGGTCGTGGCTGACGTTTTGATGATATGTCTCATATCTATACATCGGATTAGTATTGTTCTTATCGATTTCAACTTTCTCCGTATTTTACTTTCATCAATATTTGTTTAATTATGGTTTTAGTCCCTATACTATACTAAAAGTTTCTATTTAGCCTATATATTTTAATTTGACATGATTGATCCCTCTACCTCTATAATTTTTTTTAGGTCTACATTATTGATAACACTATTAATAAAAGTGACGACATTATTTTTTAAAAAGAAAAACCTTAAGCGTCAGCCATCCTTCGAACTCTCAACAGAGTTCGTTAGTATTCGAACTCTAACATTTATTAAAATAATATTTTGACTCTTATTTCTTTGGAGTACTTTGGCTTCATAGGTTGTTTATGATTCATATATTAATAAATCAATCCATATGTGTTTAACAATATTTTTAAAGTAATGCATGTCTAACATTTAAAAATATAATATTTGTTATATTTTTTCATTTGGAGAAATATGAATAAATTTATTTAATTTTATCAACTAGTTTTTTTTTCATTTTATTATATGTTTAAAAATGATGTTTTTTTTCCTCAACTAAATTGATATCACTTGAGTTATAATGTTAAATTCAATTAGAAAAAATATATATATAATCAGGAGTTAAAATTAGATTGGGCCTGAGCTCAACTAAAGGCCCAAAATATACGTGCCATGCCTAAATATACAAATGAGGCCTGTCATCTGGAAGACCTGTATTTAAAATGAGAATTTTTGCACCTCTTTTTAGTTATTTAAACGAAGTATAACAGTTGTGTGTGTACGGCGTGTTTTTATTTATTTATTTTGATTAAGTTAAAGTGATTACAAAGTAGTATATGTTCTAAATACTCTCGACCATTTGACAATGAACACTCAATAACCTTGCTGTAATCATTAGTGCTCAAACTCGTGACCTCTAGTAATAAACAACGATTATTTTTAACCACTGATGTAAGTTTGCTCGTGCGGGTGTGTGTTTAATTGATTACAAAAAATCTAAATAAATATTATTCTATTAGTTGTCAACTTGTCATTGTTTACTTAAAATGTTGTCGAATGGGTAGGAAGATTGGGCTTAATTAAGAGATTAGAAAGTAGAAACCCGATGGGAATAATCCAAAGTCTAAACCCAAAACGCATGATCTTTGGGCCTCTTCCTCAGTAACACGTGACCAACTTTGAGGGTTTTTTGGGCCCTATCGTGCAAACCCATAAATTATTTGGCCCAGTAAAGCACTCCAGTTTTTATTTTGTAATCTACGTTAAACACTATAATACATAGGAACTTGTCTTTTCGTGGTGATAAGTTTAAATAAATATATTATTTTTTAAATTTTATCACATCGAAGTGAAAGTTTGAATAAAATTTTTTTTATTGGAACTCGTCACCTCGAGGTGACGAGTTCCCCCTGCACTGTAGGATTTGTCGTATATCCCTAAATAATTTGCATTTTACTGTATTGGACTAAATAATTAACCTGCCAACTATACTGGGCCAATTCTGCCCAACTTTGAGTGATTACTTCTTTATGCCCTTCTATAATTCCTAATTTTCTCGGTAAATAAATGAAGATTAAGCATTTGATCCGCTTTTTTAAATAATTTTAGATGATTACAAGGCAATATATTTTTCAATTTTTTTTATTTATTGACATGCACACATATTTGTAGATATAATGTTCGAATCTAATACTTAATAACAATCTCTTTTACTACTAATATCATTTGATAGCTTTACATTTGATCGATTTTCATTTGTAACATTATATACTTGTGATTTAAATCTTGATAAACAATTATCTCCTTCGATATTACCGTTAATTTTCATGGATCATGGGGAAAGGAACAACAAAATGTCTTGAAACCGGGTTCCTACTCGCTCCTATAAGATTTTTCTTTTCAAAATTCAATTTTGAGAAGAGATAGATCAACCTTCTCATTAAAAAATTGGGTTGATTTAAGTAAAATCTATTCGGTTCTAGTTTGATATATTTCTTAAAATAAAAAAAAAATTAGCTGACCTTATTCTCACATGTAATGGGTGAGGGGGAGGTAAGGTAGTAGGCTGCCCCAACGGGTTGAGAGAAGCTTCCATGAAAGACCTCCGACAATCAGAATTATGAATTGTCCACTGTGGACTCGATCCCATGACCACAAGGTTAAATGCCCTCTTTAATTTTTAATTATTTTTATATTTAAATTATATTTATAAGTTTATAAGAATTTGTTATTCTGATAATAGTAGAAATGATACTAATACTATCATTTTTAAAATATCTCAATCAAAATCTGTAAATCTATTTGAAAATTCGAAATCAATTTTTATCCACAAATTGATTAAGATTATTCCACGATTATGATTATTTCAACCCTAATCATTGTTAATTATGTTATTTATTGAGTTTGATTATCCAATTTTCATCTGGTTATCTTGCAATCTGTATTTTATTTTCATATTTGGATAAACACAGAGTTAGGCGAAGATATCATTCTAAAGCGGACCTAAAATCAAAGTCCACTAAAATATTGAGAATATGAGCAAAAACTGAAAAATGAGTCCCTATAGAATGAAAGAATATTCTATTACTTTAAGAAATTAATTTAATATTTTATTAATAATCTATAGAAACATAATTAAACTTTATCAAATATATTATTTTTATTATTTTATTAAAAAATACCTTAAATACAACTAAAACAATTAACGACAGCTGCTTTGTTTAGTACATAAAGGCAAAAGCTGCTGCCTCCGTGAAGAGATAAACTCTAACATCATCATCATGTGACGGCCAATGCCTGTATTAATTCACTCATTTTTCTATTCTAACTACCTTAACTGCAACATCATCTGCTATGTCCCCCTAAC